CATTTTCAGTGTTATTGCGAAATAAGCAGAGGTTTGCAGGGAACCTCCTGTGACTAATTTTCAGTTAGAAATGGAAAACTTAAGAAATATCTAAAGGGGAAATATGAATCCACACTGTTGCCGGCAACACAAAGTCAGCAGCTTCAATGAAGTCGATGAAACTATTCCTGTCAGTCAAGGTAAGCATCTGTGCACATGTCTGCAGGATCAAGGCCTAGGCCACTGGTTTTATGGAGGCTATGTCTATACAAGAAGGCTTACAGCAGTGCTGCTGTGTTGATGCAGCCACTCTATGCCAGTGGGAAAGAGCTCTCCCACTGACATAATTAATCCACCCTCAATGTGTGGCACCAGTGGTAGCTATGTCAATGGAAGAAGCTCTCCTGCTGACTAGTGCTGTCAATGTAACTTATGTTGCTCAGGGGGGTGGAATATTCACACCCTTGTGCAATGTAAGTTTTTCTGTCAGAGGCTGTATTGTGTTCATAGCCTCTGAGTCAGAGTTGAAGTGTCCAGAAGTCATTGCCCTATGAACAATGTGTCACTGCAAAATACAAAATGAGTTGACCATCTCAGACTTCTTCTTTCTAGGCAGATCTCCAGATAGCAGCAACTCCCTCACATGCCTAGCTGCCCCACCAGGGACATGTGCAAGTGAGCTTGGTGCATCAACAGGTTTTCAAGTGGATCACTAGATGCACATCAACTCTTAACACTACACCATGGAGTTGCAGAGTTGTGTTTGGGAGGAAGGGGTGACCACCACTTTAGTCCTGCTCAAACTCCACTGAAGGAGAATGTTGCACTGCACTTGTGTGAATGTTAAAGATGAATATCTGTATATTGTTGCACTTAGTAAATGTTGCACTTAGTTTAACCGGTTAACATTTTTAAAGGGAATTTACATCTCTAGTCAATATAAACAGATTAAGAACCTAAGTTTGCATCCTTCGAAATCTGTGGGAAATCCATGGGAATTCTATCACTATGGGTAGTCTGATACAACTCATAAATATCAATGAGTAATGAAAACCAAAGCCAGAAACCTCAACAATAGACTAATTACAAAAACCTGATTAGCTTTCCTGATTAATTGAAAATAAATGAGCAAGCTCCCTGTGCATTTTCAAGACTGAATAAGCCATGTGCACTTGGAGGTAGGTAACTACTCCTTGTTGGAAAACTAATTTACTAAAATGGTAGGTTTTTAATCAGTGTAACTTTGCTATTTCTCAGAAAATAACATCATCTTGCATTCAGTCATTGTGAAACTGGGGCTTAGATTTTCATTCTAGAGTCTCACAAGTCCTCTTAGACAAGGATAACCTAAAGCTGTAAGTGGAGCAATAGTCAAATATTTTTCACTCAATTTCTTTACACTATTTCAATCTGTCTTGTTAGTAAAACAGGGAGTGATTTTAGGTTTAAAAATGTTTGCCACATGTCCATACCACAATTTCTACAAAGGAAACTGGGTCAATTCTCCCTGTATTTAATCCTGCCCCTTAAATGGTGTTGATAGCTTTAAAGACTACTTTTATGTATTTATTTTGGTGGGCTGTTGAGTTATTTTTGTGGATGGTTGTTTTCAAAATATTTTTTATTTTCTCTCTAGAGATGGAAAGGAATAGAAATACTTTTCTTTTTAAAAACATTCATCAATATATTCCTCTTAATAATAAAGAAATGAAAATCTGTGTATTTCATCTGAGGACTGGTATCTAATATTAAACAGTAAAAGAATCATCTTGTTTACAGAACTTTCACAATGCTTAACACGTTTACTAGTGATTAACGTGCCTCACTGGCCAAGCTGAGTTCATTTGCCAATCTCTGAAGTTACATGTTAAACAATCCACACACAGGGAGAAATACATTACTATTAATGCAAACATAGCCATGCATTACAGACACAAAAGTGTTATCACGTCTATCATAGTTTCAGACACACCATTTATCTATCCTGCACATGTGGCTTATTAGCAAGATTGTTAGATTTTCTTGAATCATGGTCAGGAACAGTGTTCCTTATAAGCTGAGTGCTTTGACGGTCTCCTAAGAGAGATTCAGGTGCTGCTCAGCAAATTAGCAGAGCACCCACAGCCATCAGTCTGTGTTTCTATTAGTGGTACACAACCACACATGCCTTGGTGCATGTAACAACATTTATTCTGCGCATGGATGAAAAAATTTAGAGGGAACATCCGTAAGGAATCTCAAGGATGCTATGTAACTTATTTTCAAGCCTGTATTTGCAAATGTGGCATGTTGTTGGGTAGATATACTTTAAACAGTACAATCCCTTAGGATTGTATGCCAGGCTTTATTAATTTGCATATATACAATTTCCCTCATGACAGCATCATTTATAGGCCTGGGACAGATCATAATATCTGTTCCAATATTAGCTCACTCTAGGGGCCTGATTGTGCTCTCAGTTGAACCACTTTTATACAGGTTGTAAATCTACTGATGCCTGAGTTACACTCAAGTGAGTAAGAGCAATATCAGGTGCTGGTATCTATTGCTAGGGAACCCTCCAAGGAAGATTTATGCTTTTTCAGCTCGCTCTCTATGGCTTATTCAGATCTGGGCTTGGACTAATCTCAAAGCCACAATCTGACATGATAGAAACTTCTTGGGTGGTCCCTCTGGATATTTTCTCCCTTTTTCTTGTCCAGATTTTGCATTCAGCAACAGCAGAGATTAGCCGTGTCAGTACTCTCATTGATTCTGAGTCACTCGTGAAGCATGGAGATGTCACCATTGAGAAGCCCTATGATTACTGTGACTCAGAGGTGGTTAGGCTGTCACCAATACATACTCAGCAGGATGTGGAAACTGCTCTCCAGGCTTTGGGCTTCCCTATCTCTACTATGTGAAGTCCAGAAGGTCAACTGCTTTGTAATTATCTCGGAGTAATAAAGCAAGCTGGGTTGCTCTGTATTCAGAAATGCCTCTTGACACCCACCTCCAACTTTTTTCTCACAGATTACCCCGGTTCAGGGATGATCTGTGACAAATGAAGCAAGAGGGCAGACATCTGAAGTGCCAATAATGGAAGTCTTACACCAAAGCTGGTTGGTTCCCAAGTACAGATTTTTAAGAACTCTGTTGCAGTGGCTCTGGGTGGAAGGGGAAACCAACAAAGATCTTTTCCACTGCAAAATATCACTCAGCAAGTTTATTTTAATTGGTATATAATTGAGGATTATCAGGCTATTTCTGCTTAGTAGGTGGTCTAAAATCTTCCCATTGAGAGGAATATTTTGGACGACAAGACTGATCATGTTAGGGATGGGCTTCCTTCTTCAGTAGTCACATTCCAAACTCTTGTCTGCTCTACTAGATGGTGCATGATTGATGCTCCTTAGGCATACTCCTTAGGCACTAGAGTTATTGCGAGAACTTCATCCCACAACCTGTGCTTTGGATCCAGGGGATCCATGTCTTTTCTGACTGCTAAAAGCCAGTAAAGAAGTACCGGGTCCCTTATGTGTGCAGATTATCAAGACCTCTTAAAGAAAGGGCAGCCTGCCTATGACTCACCCAAAAGAAGCTCAAGTGTGGTGACTTTGTGGGCAAGCTGCAAAAGACAGCTGTTTGAGAGGCCAACTAGAGAAGACCTCCCACAGTGATGCACAGGACCGGTGGTTGGCTGTCTGGTCAACCAAAGTCCTATAGAACGACTCAGTTTTGCTGAGGTTAAAATAATTGTATTTATTTCATGATTAATTACAGAAGGATGCCTATAGCCTGCGATGGGCAACTTTATTAATTTTAAACTACAGTATATACATAAATATTATTATATTAGAATTAAGAAAAAAAATAGAGCCAAAGACTGAGCTATACGTGGGTCACTCTCAAAGGCTCATCAAGGAGCTACACAGAATGTTCCCTCTAAATTCTCCAGGGGATCCAGCCAGCTGAGGCAGTGAGCAACCAATCTCAGGAGCCTGGATTACCTCTCACTTCGGCCAGTGTCAATCAGGAATAACTCCATGGAAGTTAATGTCCCTTCCCCAGAGTAGATCCTTTACAAAATGGCAAAGGGGATTCATCTCTGAGCTAAAAGCAAGGGAGCTGATATGGTAGGGCAGAGAGGGATGAATTGCACCAGTCACAAGGGAGGTGCAGAGTTAGCTACACCAGTTTCATACCCAAATCCTGGGCATCAGAACTCCCAGCACAGGGCATTCCTTCACTCTGTTTCTCACTAGGGTTGCCAGACAGTTTAACAAAAAATACCGAACAACACCCCTCCCCCCAAAAAATGAGAAAAATTCTGTTGAGGAAAAAAGGGAGGGGGGCAAAGTTGTGCAAAGGAAAAAAGGACCTTGAGAGTTGTTAAACCAAAAACAAACAAACAAACCAAAAAAACCAAACAAGAAAACAGCGTGATCCCTTTAAAAAATGCTTTGCTTTTGAGGTGTTTTGGCCCTAACAGGCTGCCGGCAGCCACCCACCATCTTGCCTCCCTGCACCAGGCCAGACAGCTCCCCTGCAGAACCTAGGATTTTCGCCTCCTGGCCAGGAAAAAATAAGAAAATACTGAACATTTTAGGTGTCTGGTATTTTCTGAATTTTTTTACTGGACAGGAGGCGAAAATACCAGACTGTCTGGTTCAACACCGAACACCTGGCAACCCCATCTGGTTCCACCCATCTGCCTCTGAATAGCTGACATGCAAAGTGTTCAGCTGAATTCTCCCTACAGAGGGAGAAGCATGTCCCAAGACTTGACCTTGCATACTCCCCAAGAGATTGTTCTCTGCGGCCAATAGACTGTCAGCCATGCAGCATCTTCCTGCATGTGTAAGTGCTTGAGATAGAAAGGAAAGCCTCATGAAACAGCAATATTTGGATAACCAAAGTTTTTATTATAATAAATAACAATGAAAGAGATCTCAAATAAGCAGCTCCTTCAAATGTATATTTCATGTAAAAAGGCTCATACATTTTCATAAATAACGTCACACTATTATTTATATAAATAAATGCACTCTATAATTATTGCCATTCAATAAATTAGCATTAAATATTAAAATATTGTCAATACTTTTTTGCTAAAAGCACCAGAAATACTTGTTTTCTAGAAAAGGATCAATGTAATAAAAAGATAGCAACATTTCCTAGGAAAATGTTCAAGTTAAAGACAATGGGACAGATGCAAGCATGCATCACTGAATAGCTTTCAAAATATCCACTTGTGCTTTGTGCACATAGACTCCAATCAACAAAATACATAAGAATCTGCTTAAATTCCATTTACTTCAAAGGGACTTAATATGCTTTTTAGTTAACTATACTTTGTTGAATGGGAGCCATAATGGAGCTTTCTTTTTCAAGATACATCCTATGTAACATGCCCATATTAAAATATGGCCTGTGGTATATGGCACAGTTATATAACTAACATTCCTATGCGTGTGTCTTCTGAATAGATAAATGATTTGCACCATAGTGGTTTCCTGGAGGTTCTTTCAGTTTTTCTTCTTGTTTCCTCCCTTAGCAGTAACTGTTCTCTTCGGTGCTTCAGTGCATGCATTTTCCATGTAATCAAAGAGCAAATCCAGCTCCCCGATTGCTTTGTTCTTTCCACTCTGTCCCAACTATATATATAGAAAAAAAAATCTTTAATGTCTCATTATGTCACCAAGGACCAAGATCAGAATACAGTATTTGTATAGAAATAGGGCTAAATCCTGCTCCTTTTATTCTTACAAATAATTCTGTTAATGTCAGCTGACCTCAAGATGGAAACTACCTAATCCAAACCATGCCAATGCTGGATTGTTTTCTACAGGCTATATTCTTTTGTCCAGTTACATTTTAAATTATTCTAGGGATGTATCAAGTGAACACAAAAATCACACAACATATAACAGTACTAAGGTTTGGTTTACAGTGCTTTTAATATGACATCTGAGGAAATCATCCCTAACTGCGCCAAGAAGTCCAGCCTACAGTCTCTTTCCGATAAAAGATCACATTGTGCACTAGAGTAGCCATGTCACAACTGGTGGAGGAAGTTCTTAAGTTTTAAACCTCCATTTATTTTCTTTTAGAGTTAAAAATTGTAATCACTTATCTGTAACATTAAATAATTGCAAATGGTGATATCTCTATTACAGTTTTCATATTATTACAAGCTCAGTTTGGCCAATATAGAATATATGGTGCATGTTACCATTAAGAGAGACATACTTTCATTGCAGCATTAACAAACACAGGTCCCAATCCTGCCAGTGCTGAAGCACATGAGTATTTTTTATGCAAGGAAGCAATCTCCTAACATCAGTGGAATATTCACATGCAGGATTAGGGCTACAGATAAGACAGTTTCTCCATGCCAAAACACTTACAATCTAAATAAACAAGACAAAGGAGAAACAAAAGTGTCCCTAGTCCGCCTATCTCCACTGCAGCCTTCACCCCTTAAATAATCTCTGCTCTCGTTAGAACAGTGTTTCTTAAACTGTGTTTCATGTTCCAGTGTGACACGAGGCAGTCGGATGTGTTCCGCGAAGAACAACAGAATCCTCGGTGTTCCTCATAAAAAAAATTGTTCTTTGGTGTTCCTCGGTCTTAAGAAGTTTAAGAAACACTGCTTTAGAACATTAGCTTCTCAGCTATATTTTTTTTGAGGGGGGGGGCGTTAGTTATTTTTTGTTTTGTTTTGAGTTTGGGTTTTTTTTTTTTTTTTGCTGCATTAAACTGATAGTTTTGCATTACACATGAGCCAACTGAAATGTTTTTGCTTATACAACATTTGTCATAGCTGATAATGGGCCTGATCCAAAGTCTTTTGGAGTCAACAGAAAGACCCCAACTGGCTTCAGTGGGTTTTGGCTCAATCTCAGCAGTGCTACTGGAACAACAATGAAAAAGTATGACCTGGCCAATTAGGCCAGTTCATTAATCTGTTAGCCTTAAATTCAGCAAGTATGTCATTTGTAATAGCTACTTGGGGGCCTGGCACTAGTCTTGTTAAAACAAACATACCTGTTTGATTTTGTCTCTCATTTGTTCCAGGTTCCTTTCAATATGTTCTCTGTGTCCTGAAAATTTCTGCAAAACAAAAGCCCATGATTTGGTTGGTGAATGTGTGACAGTGCGGTTTTTCTGTTTCACACCTTTCTATTAATGTACTGTATTTGATTTCACAACCCTAAATTTGGGTATCTTGATCTGAGGTTTCCTTTGATTTCAGCACCCAGTGAGTGGTCACCTTGCCACTGCAGCACACTGCCATGGTTATACTTGAAATTCATAAGCCAGCTGAGAGCAGAAGAAAGGATGGGAACCAGAAGAGAGAAGATGCAGGAGAAGTAGGGGAGGGGGAACAGGCAGGGTTTATAGAAATGTGCCATACTTACACAGCCACTTAGTTCTGTGGTCAGTGCTGCTAAGAACTGGGCTACCTCATGGATGTGTGGATAATAGTTCTTAGGTGCAGGGAGAAGTACTTCATCCACTATGATCTTCACTACCTTCTTCATCACATAGCAGCGATTAGTCTCCTGCAAAACACAAAGTAGGAGGGTCACACCAAATAATAATACACTAATCAATGCTGCTTAGGCAGCTGGCTCCCTGCAGCATATGTAAAGCTCACCTGGACGTTAATGTACAGCTGCTGTCCAATTAGCCTGTTGTCTGTGTCTTGGTCCGAGAGCCTAGCCTGCAAGGCAGAAAGGAAGTGTCAGAGGGAGATAGGAGACCTAATTTTTTTTAGAAAATGGACAGTATTCTACAGCCGTAGTGCAGGACACTACAATTGACACCCTGCTTTGAGCAATAGCTGCAAGCATTGGGGATTATACCTCAGAGGGGACCCAGAGGGAGAGGGAGAAGGCTGAGCCTACTGAGGAGAATCAGAAGAGGTTAAACTCTAACAAGGAGCTTGCTAGTTATTTCTAGAGGTCTGCCCGTGCCCAGCAGTGAATGAGGCAAGGGAGAGAGAAATGAAAATTCTTGTTTCAAAATTTGCCAGCCCAGGGAAAACAAAAGAAGTTTAGTAGAGCGCAGAATAGTGCATTAGAAATGAGCAGTGCTTCACCGATGGGTTATCCCTCCACAGACTGCTGAGGGATTTGCAGTGGATTTTGGTTTCACATAGCGATGTACTTAGCCCTAAGTATACTCTACCTCCCCTCCCCCCCCCCCCCCCCCCCCGAAAACATCACTGCAGCATGAGTACATGTCCATGAAGGTTGAGGGAAGGGAACAGAAAGAAAGTGGAATATGGAAGAGGAGACCCATGGCAACAGAGAGGAGAAAGGGCACCGTAATAGATAGATTACTATACCAGTTTGGCCAACGTGTAGGTGCGATTCCTGATGTAGGCCTGCTGGAAGTTGATCTTTCTGAGTCTGCAGGAGTCACTGGCAGGAGCAACTCCTGCTCTTTTTGGAGGCATGGGGAGGGCCAAGAGAAGGAGAGGGAGACAGCAGCAGCAGAAAAAGATCCATGCCAGGGAGCACCTCATCCAGTTCTGTAGGTACATCGTGGTTCAAAATCCAAGTAGTTAGTTCAGCTGGGCCGCAGCTACAGAACTCTGCACTGATGAGAAAGAGAGACAGCCATCGTCAAAGAAAGAGCGAGAGAGACTGAGTAAGACAAAGCAAGAAAGGCAGGTAGACTTCAAATCTTACCTTTGCCGTGATTCTAGTTGTGCTGTGCAGGAGTCTAGGTGCATCTTATATAGACCCACCAGCATCTTTTTCCTGGGTGTCTGCTCGTGAATTAAAGATGACATCAGCAAGTCTCTTACTTTCCAGCATCCTCTTCTGAGAACAACCACCACCAAAACCCACACAGAACACAACCACAAGGGCTTTGCACTCTTCCGTTTCTTATAAAAAGTAACCCCATCTTTAATGTTGGGTTAGGCAGGGGCTTTTCCTGCGAATTGTTGAATTTACACAGATGTGAACCCTGGATGTTTTTTTGAAAAAATATTTATTGTAAAGTTGGCAAGTTTTGTGACCTGTCTTGATCATAAAGCCTCAGTTCACACCACAGATCAATTTTAAGCTTGATTCAATTTTGTAAACACTTTCTATATTTATACTTATTAATAATTTGTATTACTGCAGCACCAAGAGACATTAGTGGAGACAGGGGCCCCATTGTGCTAGGTGCTGTACAAATACACATAGTCAGATGCTGTCTCTGCACCCAAAAGCTGGGGTTCATGCATCTGCCTGGAGTCCTACTGACATTGATGGAGTTTTGCCTATGTCCCAAGGCAAAACTCTTTGAAAGATCAGAGTCTAAATATGACCAATACAGTAAGATTTCATTTATCAGACCTCTACATGTCCCCAGATCCCCATTTTCCAAAACAGAAACATGTCCTACAGTGAGCATCATTTGCACTGAACAGCCGTACATTGGTACAACTGCTTATCTAAATGAATTCTGTGTTCTTCATTCTAGTCAAGTAAACCAGGCTCTTCAGAGCACAAATACTACACTTTGTGCTTAATATAATGGGGGAAGAGAGGAAAAGGCAGGATAAGGGGGGTTATAACTTTCTGTAAAATTAATATTAGTCTAAGTCAAATGATAAGAAAGATGTGTTATTATTATTATTATTAGACACCAACAACATGCACAAGTAATGAATATTGAGATTGCAAGTTCCTCAGGATATGGACAATTTAAGGCCTCAATCCTGCAGCTAACTGTGCGGGGGGGGGGTTATCGCTGTAACTGGGCTAAGGACTAGGGGAATGCTGTTTGTGAGTACAGTCACTGGGAAATTGAGGGGTAAAGGACAGACACAGGTTAGACACAATCAGCTGGGAGAGCAAAGGGGGAGTTAACTTAGGTTATGTTTTATTTTTAATATAATGTTGTGGATGGGAAGGGCACTTAAATATGAGTTAATTATAGTCCTAGACTGAGGAAAGGAAGGAGGGAATTAGAAGATGGGAGGACTTGAGGATTTGGCTACCCAATGGCTAAACCTAGAAGCCAAAGCATGGTCTTAGAACAATAATGGCATATTCTCTCCTTGGTGATACAAACCCGAGTTTGATGGTTTTGCCCTACAGCAATTGTGGAGGAATTCAGGACAACTGGAAGTTCTCAGAGGCCAAATTAGCAAAGAATGGAAAGGACAGTCTACCTATTGGCCAGCCACTTATAGAAGAAAGGTGAGAGACTATAACCTACTAAACTAGCAACAATCACAGTATTAATTCACCTCAAGTGACTGAATTTTTCCTTCCCTATTACAGGCTCCCAACCAAGAACATGGCCCCAAGTTCTCGGACTTTCAAGAGACTACTACTGCCCTCCCACAAAGAGCTCGTGGTATAACTGTGGGAAACCTGAGCACATTCAACAGAATTGCCCTATGATGGAATGCAACTCTATAAGATGCCCCTTACATCAAGCATGGGAGAATCCAAATCTGTCATTAAAACTTGCCCCAAGGTAGCTGATGGCCCTGAGAAAAAGAGAGCCAAACATGGAGGAAGAATTGATAGAATTGCCTATCCTGGGCAGTGATCCTGAGATGCAACTGAGAACATCTTTGGACCCTCCTGGGAGGAGAATCTGTTTACTGCCCAGGCCCTCTCAGACACAAGAAAAGACTCCCGAAGATGCCTAAGACTTAATTGTCCATCACTCAGTCTGATCTTTTTTACTTTGACGTCTCAAGTACGTCCCAGGGCTCAAATAGACAGCAAAAGAAGTCTTCAATGGAGGACAAGCCTGGGCCTGTGCTGGAGGCAATTCCATGGGGTGCGTCTACACAGCAGTGTCATTTCAGAATAACGGACATTATTCCAAAATAACGTATTGCACATCTACACAGCAAGCCTGTTGTTTCAAAATAAAATAAATTCAAAATAATGAGGTTCTTACTCCAACTCCTGTAAACCTCATTGCACGAGGAGTAACAGTTAATTCAAGGGAAGGGTTTTGGATTGGACTACCACATCTGCTTGCGATGAGTTAATTCAGGTGACCGGCATATTAAAATGGTGACCAGCTGCAAATATGCTAATCAAGCACAGGATATTTAAATCCCGCGCTTCATTAGTAACTTCAGTATGCTTCATTTGCCTCCCTCGTTCGAACTAGGGGGCAAGTGTAGACATACCCAGAGTGCTCTATTTCAAAATAGGTGCTGTGTAGATGTGCCCAAATTCAAAATAAGCTATTTCAACTTAAGCTACACAAATAATGTAGCTCAAATTGCGTAGCTTATTTCAAATTTAGCACTGCTGCATAGGTGTACCCAGGGAGCCTAGAGAAGAACTTTCTCAAAGGTAAAGCCTGAAGAGGGAACATCCCAACTGTTCGTAGGTTATCCCCTAGCTATGGATGCCGCAGAGCCCTTTCACAACCTAGACGCAGTATCCTGAGTGGCACCCTTGATGCTGTGGCTACTTAGCATGACAACCAGACACTCCAGGAATGTTTCAACCAACTACTCAAAGTCCACAGGCTGGTCACCACTCAACGTTCATCTCATTAGATTCCCTGCTTTGAATTATGGAATGTGATTTTTTTTATATACAAAATAGAGAGACATCCCCAAACTAAAGAACCCAGATTTCAAATCGTACTGTCAAAGTCAACCTGGCAAGAGCTCCTAGGCTTCCCCTTATTCTTCCCACTGGACACTGAGGTAGGGTGAAAACCCAAGAATGACTATTGTCCCGATTAGTTTGGCCAGGAATATATAAAGAGGTAGCCATTTTCTTTTTATCAAGGATCAGGGCTGGGCCCCCAGAATTCCCCTAATTTCAACTGCCTTTGAGAGGGTGGGGACTGATATAATATACCCTCCGGAGAAATGCATCCAAAGTCACACATTTATTTTGGTACTTGGGGATTATGTTACTTTATATCTTGAGGTAATTCCTTTATAAATACCATTGCCTCACCCTACAGTGAGAGCTATTTCAAGTTTTTTCTTTGGGTGGCCTTCCATCAGAAGTCATCACTGATCAAGAGATGAATTTCATGTCCTGGGCAATGTTCCCTGAAAGCGGAATGCTTGAGCAGCCACCCAGGAGAAATTCAAATGCCGCCCAGCTGATTACCAGAGCACCCCAGCTAGCAACATGTATTTCTATTGATGATGCACATCCTCACATGCCTCTGTGCACATAAAATGTATTACACTCATGGCTGGAAAAAAATAGAGGGAACACTGGTCCTGGGTGCTCCAACAGGTTACAGCACTGTTGAAAGTATGAACACTCTGGAGCTCAATACACTTTCTCTAGACAGATAATCTGGAAAAGTGGTTCAATAAGCCCTTCAAGAACATGCTAATTAATCTTCTGGGAACGGAGGTCAAAGACAGCTGTTCCTCTATCATTTCTTTGAAAGGTAAGAAGTCCGCAGTTCTCCAACGACTTCTCCCCTTTCAAACTTTATTAAGGGAAACAGCTTTGAGAAAGAATAGACTTGGTTAGGAAGTTTTGAGAATCTCATCCCCATTCATTCTACCATTGTCTTCTAATATGTCATTCAAATGAGGGAAAAGTTAGAAAGTTTGAGCCAGCTGAAACCTCTCTCATGCCCAATAGACCCAAATATGACAATATCATTTCTGGAAGCTTGAGTTATCCTACTCCTTCTCTACTCATACAACAAGCTCCTTCCAGATGGTAGGACCTGTGTGAAGTGCTCCATTGGGTGGGACCAATAGATTACAAAATGTATTGCCCAAACCAGCAAAACCACATTTATTATGTAAATATATTAAAACCCTGGGAATGGGGGGTTAAAGAGAGCCTTCATCCACCTGGAGGAGAAAGAAGAGGATCTGGATCTTCAGCTCCCAAAGGCTACATCTACACTGCACTGTTATTTTGGAATAAGCTGTTCTGAAATAGTTATTCCGAAATATTTTATTTCAAAGTAGAATGTGTATACTGCAGGGAAGCCTCAAAATTAGTCTGAGACAGGCTTCCCTAATGTAGATGTACTATCTCGATTTAGAGCCCCACAAGGAATAACTTAGAATGGCCCTGATGAGGGACTATTTCGAAATAGCAGAAGTGGAGCATCTATACACGCCTTATTTTGAAATAGCTATTTTAGAATAGGTGTTATTCTTCATAGAATGAGGTTTACAGAAGTTGGAATAAGCTGTCCGTTATTTTGAAATTATTTAGAAATAACTGAATAGCTGTGTAGACGCTCGCATAGTTATTTCAGAATAATGGTCATTATAGGTATACCCTAAGAGGGCTAAAACTGGGACAGAATAGGATGTCTGTTCGGGAGAGGCTGTCTAATGGACAGAGAAGACAAATACACAATGTCCTGGGAGATTACAAGGAGATGTTTCCCCCACTCCAGGGAAAAATCTTGTTGGTGATTTGCCACAGCCACATATGGCTGGTGCCAAGCCCATTAGGAAGTCATATTATATCCCAAAATGTGTAAAACTCTGGTTAATTCAGGAAGTTCAGGAAATGTAAAGATAACTGAGGGGTTTCATTGCCCCTGGTGTATTCTGATGATTTTGGTACGAACACCAGATAGAACTTTGTTTTTGTGTTTCCAGCAGATAAACATCATTTCTGACCTTGATACATATACAGCATCCTAAGTCAGTGATTTGCAGAATCACCTCAGTCAACCCCACTCTATCATTAGATCTAAGAACTAATGGAAAACTCCCCTTACTCCCAGCTCCTCAAAAAATAAAATCTTTTCTACCTTAGTGGGCCTATTCCGATTTGTTACCATTCCTTTGGGTTGCGTGTAATTCTGACCACCTTTCAAAGGCTGATGTTTGGCCATAACACCCGATACAATTGCTATACCGTGACCT